CAGCGACCGTCCAAGCCCCGAGCCCACCCCACTGGGGGGCAGAGTAGCAGCGGGCCCCCAGATAAACCAGCAGGAGGGGCAGCCCAGACCGCAGCCTGACAAATACCCAAACATACACAATCGCACCATCCCACCCTCATCCTCAACCCCACTCAATCAAAGACATACAAGGACTGTCTTTGTCTTTGTGTAACTGTGGTGCCCTGAAAAATTTAATTGAACAATCCTGTATTAATGTCTCAACATAAGTTGCTTTAAAGCCAGCACTGACCATAAACTGCCATAATGCGTATTAATTATACATATTCTGTCAAAGTGGGAGAGTTCAGAAATCAGTGAGTAAAACTCTCTTACTTTTACTTCTAATAGTATTTCTGTATTTATTCCACATTTAGTCTGTAGTACAAATTTATGAGGACATGTTAAAACACTGTTTCTATGCAGGAAACACCAYGTAGAGCTCAGTTATTACTTGTTAGCAGTGCTCATGGCAATGAGACAAAGAAYGTGACATTMCTATGAAAGTGGTGAAAYATCAAAGTTAATTACTACCAGCCCTTTGAGGGCCACCGATCACTTCCGCCGTTTCTGTAGGTAAACAAACGCACGTGGTTGGCACCGGTCACTTACAATTTTTAATTTAGAGACACACGACACAATTACAAAAAAAAAATCCTGATTTTTTTTTTTTTACTTCATACTCCTTTTCAAACAGAAGGCCTTGTAAGCTGGATACAGTTTTTATTGTTTTATGTCTGTTTTGAAATTTACTCCATTTCTATTTATTCTCAAAATTAAAAAACTAAATTACCAGAGCAAAGTTMAATTTTACTGTGATGGAGAAGTGAAACTGCACTGCCAAAAYTGAGTTCAAAMCCGATAKTAAAAAGAAAAGAAAAAAAAMMCATTTGCTTTGGCCTGAAACATTAGCCAACATTTCTCATGTAAACAAACCCGTGGTGTAATCTGTGCGCAGCGCCTGTGAGAGGACGACGCTGATTGGTTGGCGGAGGTGGGCGTTTCCGCATTCCGCAGAGAGCTGACGGCCGGAGCGGCGCAGGTTCCAGGAGGTGGAGAGGCAGTGGCGTCTGTGAAGAGAGAGAGCCTCTTGAGTCATTCCCAGGGGGAGTCGACGGTCTGAAGCCAGGAAGCAGGGATGCCTTACATGCTCATCAGTACGCAGATCCGACTGGTGTGTATATTGTGTTTAAATTACTCCATCATGTTTATTTAGCTTCTTTATTATTTTTTTGCAACAGGATCCTCCTTTTCAAAATTCTGCATGTTAATTAAAACACAAAGCTGAAAACTAAAAGAGCATTTTATTAGATTTTATTCTCCCTAAAATAAAAACACATTTTGCCGGTCTCTCTTCTTTTGTTTCTTGTGTTCATTTTCTTGTCTTCACTACAGGAGCAACCTAATTCTATAACACTGGAGTATTAGATGATCTATTTTTAGTCTGTCCAGATATTAGAGGTCATTATCCTGCCACAGGGCTGCAGGTGTAGTCTGGCTGCACAGATAACAGACTATGTTGACCATCGATCAAGTCTTTGTGCTAAAAGGGGACATATGAAAAATCCACTTTTTTTAGCCGTTAGATGCATTTTCTTTGTATTTGGAGTCTCTATGAGTGCAGAAAAGTTTTAGTTTCTCTGTAGCGCAGTTATCTTTATATTGTTATTTTTCAACTCGTTAAGTTTTTTCTATTTTCTATGAAGTTTTCTGAACTATTATATTGCAAAGGAACATCTAAATAAGGTCTACAGTTTGGTGGTCTTCAATCTCCTCTGGCTCTGGGTCAGACTCTGGCTCCAACATGTAAGGCTGGATTAAGTCTTCAGTTGTTGGCATCTACATGTTAATTTGTGAATAAAAAGTTTGAGACACGTTAACTCTCTATCAAACTAGAATGGAAGCTAGAGAGGGGCACACTTCAGAAAAGGGGTGAAAGTGGGGCTTGTGGAGTTACAATAAGATTTCAGATCAAATCATTCCAGTTCCACTTCATATAGACCCCAACTGAATGATTTATATGATAAAAAGAAGGATTTAAAAGAACAGTATGTCTCCTTTACCCATTGTGTTGTGATATTTTTTAACCTTTGCCTTTCAGGAAACTGGTCCAACTAATGTAGGAGATGAATCTTCAGATCCAGCTGTCATGAATTACCTGGGAGCGAGAAAAGCAACCATGCTGGGAAACAACTTGTGAGTGTTGAAAGTTAGACAAATCATGGCGGTTTGTGGGAAAGTTCACACTGCAGATAAATTTAAATGTGCACAATCACAAAACTCCATCATCATCATCATCACAAACAGGAGAAACTGAACTGTGATAACAGAGTGCTGCACAGGCAGATTTAAGCAGGTGTGATTTACATGTGGAAACCGTTCTACATTTTGACAGTTAAAAACTGGCATTTCTTTAATTCTGGCACATGAAATGTACGTTTCGACCAACGGAGCTGAGAATAAATCAATTTGGACGGGGGGTTATGTGGTGGAGGAAACCCTCAGATTTACAATAACCCATTCAAGGTGATGGAACACAGATCAGGGACGTATTGTTGTTGGCAACCGGACTTAAATCCTGCCGGGAAATGAACCAAGGTGTGGAAGGAAATGAGCGAGCACCAGAACAATTTTACGGCGAGCAGAGTTTACTGAAATCCCATGTCTGTGGAACGCAGAGTGACTCTGTATACGCTTCTTTTAGTTCCGAGTACCATGTGGACGAGCCGCCTCGCGTGGTGCTGGACAAGCTGGAGAGGATCGGCTTCCGTGTGCTGACRATGACCGGGGTGGGCCAGACGCTGGTGTGGTGTCTCCACAAAGACAAGGAGTGACTGAACGTAAAGCAACAGCATCAAAATAACRTCTGTCTTTAAAAGAAGAAATGATTTTTGCAGGAAACGTTTGATTTTTGTTTTTAACTTGTTTGGAAACTTTTAGCTCTTTAATATTTATGGTTTAAGATTTCACAATAAATAGGATTCAGGCTGCCAAATTCAAAAGTTATAAAACCCACACATCTTTTAAGACCCTTTGTTTACAGCTGGTGTGTAAAGTTTTGTTTACATAGGTTTGTACCTAAACGTCTTTGTAAAGTTATGTTGTCAAAAATGCAAAATTTTGGAATTTTTTTTCCTTTCGCAACAGAAAACATAAAAAAATTTAAATACATTTAAATATGTGTACTCTTTTATTAGTACTCAATCAGATGTGCAAATATAAAACTTAAGAACTGGTGCAATATGATGTTGATATTTATGGCACCTTACAAGAATGCAGGATCAGTTAGGGATGATTTTCCTTAATTTGAGCAGATAATTTATGACACTGGCCCACAGACATAACACTTTGATATTATACTTAGTAGTGTTGTAGTACTCAAGTCCRGTCTCAAAACCACAGTTTGAGGGTTTCGGTCATGTCTTGGACCCACATATGCACTCTGTCTCGGACACCGAAGACTTGAGATTTTATTTCAAGACCAATCAAGACCGCAACTGTGGAAATWTCAGAATAATGTCCAATTTATTTGCTAACATMTTTGATTTTACTGGAYGTAAAATGTTCTGATTCAAATCRAAGCKTGACTCATTGATAATTATGTATTTTTGTTACCGCTGTCACCCATCCCCACTCCCTTTCACTCGCACGCGGCACTCCCAAGAAAGTGAGCAGTTGTTGTCTGGGAGCGGGAGAAGATTTCTGAAAAATCTTCAGTAATAGAATTCGGCTACATGAATCATAAAGAATATATTTGTAAAACAATATCCAGGAGAAAGCATACAGACTTGTAAATGCTGCAGGGCTTCGCTTTCAGAGATGGTGGCGACTACATCAAACTTTTATCATGACTTAGAAAAGAAGCACAAAAAARGRAA